GTCAAGGACGTGCCTTCGGAATTCGTACAAAAAGGCTTCCCTTCCGAGTCACTCGCTCGGCCAAGGACGTGCCTTCAGAATTTTCACAAAAAGGTTTCCCTCCCGAGTGACCCCACTCGGCCAAGGACGTGCCTTTGGAATTCGTACAAAAAGGTTTCCCTCCCGAGTGACTCAACTCGGCCAAGGACGTGCCTTCAAAATTTTTTACAAAAAGGCTTCCCTCCCGAGTCACTCGCTTAGCCAAGGAAGTACCTTCGGAATTTTCACAAAAAGGCTTCCCTCCCGAGTGACCCCACTCGGCCAAGGACGTGCCTTCAGAATTTGTACAAAAAGATTTCCCTCTCGAGTGACTCAACTCGGCCAAGGACATTCCTTTGGAATTTTTACAAAAAGGCTTCCCTCCCAGTCACTCAATCGGCCAAGGACGTGCCTTCAGAATTTTTACTAAAAGGCTTCCCTCCCGAGTCACTCGCTCGGTCAAGGACGTGCCTTCGGAATTTTTACAAAAAGGCTTCCCTCCCAAGTCACTCGCTCGGCCAAGGACATGCCTTCGGAATTTTTAAAGAAAGGCTTCCTTCCCGAGTCACTTGCTTGGCCAAGGACGTGCTTTCAGAATTTTTAAAGAAAGGCTTTCCTCCCGAGTCACTCGCTCGGCCAAGGACGTGCCTTCAGAATTTTTACAAAAGGGATTCCCTCCCGAGTCACTCGCTTGGCCAAGGACGTGCCTTTGGAATTTTTACAAAAAGGCTTCCCTCCCGAGTCACTCACTCGGCCAAGGACGTGCCTTCGAAATTTTTTACGAAAAGGCTTCCCTCCCGAGTCACTCGCTCGGCTAAGAACGTGCCTTCAGAATTTTTCCCAGTCACTCAATCGGCCAAGGACGTGCCTTCAGAATTTTTACTAAAAGGCTTCCCTCCCGAGTCACTCGCTCGGTCAAGGACGTGCCTTCGGAATTTTTACAAAAAGGCTTCCCTCCCAAGTCACTCGCTCGGCCAAGGACATGCCTTCGGAATTTTTAAAGAAAGGCTTCCTTCCCGAGTCACTTGCTTGGCCAAGGACGTGCTTTCAGAATTTTTAAAGAAAGGCTTTCCTCCCGAGTCACTCGCTCGGCCAAGGACGTGCCTTCAGAATTTTTACAAAAGGGATTCCCTCCCGAGTCAGTGCCTTCGGAATTCGTACAAAAAGGCTTCCCTTCCGAGTCACTCGCTCGGCCAAGGACGTGCCTTCAGAATTTTCACAAAAAGGTTTCCCTCCCGAGTGACCCCACTCGGCCAAGGACGTGCCTTTGGAATTCGTACAAAAAGGTTTCCCTCCCGAGTGACTCAACTCGGCCAAGGACGTGCCTTCAAAATTTTTTACAAAAAGGCTTCCCTCCCGAGTCACTCGCTTAGCCAAGGAAGTACCTTCGGAATTTTCACAAAAAGGCTTCCCTCCCGAGTGACCCCACTCGGCCAAGGACGTGCCTTTGGAATTCGTACAAAAAGGTTTCCCTCCCGAGTGACTCAACTCGGCCAAGGACGTGCCTTCAAAATTTTTTACAAA